ATAGGGCAGAATGCTTTTACTTCAAACTTGAGCTCTGATAGACGATGTAAAGTCAAATTTCAAGTAATCAATAAATTTGACTTACCACTTTTCGGCCAAATAACAAAGATCGCCAACTCAGAGGTGTTAGGCGTGGTATCCGATGGGGGGTTGAGGCAGTGCCGCAGTGAAGATATCACAAAGGCGTCAGGGATACAAAATTGAGGAACAAGATGAGGAATTAAGGATGAGTGGATGACTACGGGATGAGGAATTGAGATTTGAGGTTTGAGAATTGGGAAACAAGGATGACGGCGGAATTTGATTTAGTGTAGTGAAAATGTGAAATGAAAATGAGCTGAAGACATTAGGGTAAAGGAAGGGAAAAAGTGAATGTTAGGAAATTACATAAAAGACCGAGCTTTTAGCGAGACGAGCCTATTATAGAGCTCGAGCTCGACTCGTTTACCAAATGAGCCGAGCCGAACTCGAGCCTAAACAAGCCGAGCTCGGGCCGAGCTGAGTCAGACTCGTTTAATTTAACAGCTCTAATCTCGTCCAACCTTGACACTGTCTTCTTCAGGTATTCCAATGTTAACATGGTCATCTTCTGCCCTTAAGCATCCATCTTTGACCTCCGCAGCAGCTCGTCCAATTGTCGTGTCTTTATCTTAAACCTTTGTAGTCGCTCGCCTTAGCATGGTCATCTTCGACACGTGAACCTGCGGCACAAACACCGTGGCCACGATCATCTTTGACCTTTCCGGTGAGAAGTGTCGTCCTAACTTTATGTTGTGCGACAAGGTTGATTCTTTTGGGATCTATGAAGATCTCGTTATGCACAAATCACGAATTCAATAGCAAAACATAAACCTATGCGCAGCGGATCTAAAGGTTAGCGTAGAGAACTTACGACTTAAAATTTATGGCGATCGGGCTGATCTTCTGGATGGTTGTACACAGCACACCAATGAAAAGTAGACTGCAAATCGCGTTATAGGGTTGCACGAACAAGATCCGATCAAAAATCGGATCAAACGGGTGCAAAAACATAAGAAGATAAGTTGCAGTCCTGAGAGCTTCCGACGGCGCATGAGGGCGCGTGCAGCGTCAAATGGCTGCGATCTTGGCGGCGTTGGAAAGCTCTCGTCGAGACGGTTGTCTGGGTATGCTGCACGTCGTGATCGGACCTCCGGTTAGTTTTATAAGACAAAATATATTCGTCTCAGTTTACCCAAAGATCTTCTACTGTATATCTCAAACACCTCTTAATCTTGTACCGGTGGAACAACAAGAAGAAGATAAAGCTCGAATAGGAATTGAGAGAGAGAATATGGGGCGGCGGTTATTGGCGTGAATCGTGAGACTTCTCTCCTCTTCCCATGAGCTTAATATGTATATATAGAGCTACAGTAGGGACCCTTAGGAGATTAAGATTAGGGCTCCTTAATTAATTAAAATACTTGTGGACCAATCTACTTATTTTAATTAATTAAATAATATTAAATGGACCACCAACATAATATTTGCACTCCTTATGCATTGGAGATGCTCTAATGCATGTTGTCTTGGACTCAATTTTATCCATTATGTCTTTTTGAGGCAAAGATTAGCGTTAATTAAAATACCGTTTGATACATTATATGGACTGTTTATTTAGAAAAGTTGCTGGTTTTACAAATTGGGTCTTTAAGGCTCAATATATAGGATATTCAAAAGCTTTGGCCAAATTAACCAAAAGACCAATACATGAGGCATTCAAATGGATAAAGGTTTTGGGCCATTTGATACGCATGACAAAGTTTATCAATTTGGTTCTCTTGGACTTTGTAAATCCATTTCACGTCTTTCAAGCCCGATAAATGATGTCGCGACTTATTCACTTTAAGACACATCATCCGTGAACAAGTCTTGAGGGGGCATTTGTAGATGCATAAAATTTGTGGCCAATCACATGGCGCCACGTGGAAATTAATTTATCAAGTCATATTTTCTATTTATATTTTAGGAATTTTCATATTTTTAATTTCTAAATTTAAATAGTTAATTAATTGATATCTTAATATTTTAAATCATTCTTGGTAAATAAATCATATGTTCTAGAATATCTTGAAAGATTAAGAGGATCTAGAAGATCTCATGTGAATCATCGTGAACCAATCGAATCGCGTCCTACGATTCTTGAATTTGATAGGATTCTCTCTCCTACACCTATAAATAAGGACTCTCTCTAATGTAAAAAAACACACCTCATAATTCATATTCAAGATTCAAGAGCTCTAGAGAATTCTCTCGACGAGATTCAAGTGTTCTTGAATATTCGAGGGAGGATTCAAGCGCATCCAACCTCAAGACTGTTGTTCAATCCGGAGACAAGCTGCGAAGCCACCGAATAACATGAGTAAATTCAAAACCGGCATAGAGAAGATTCGAGATCTACTTTGCTGTGAAGACCAAGGATTCGTGTTCTTTGCGTTCTTGGGATATAGCGGCGTTTGATCGGAGAAAAAGCTCTCAAGCCCTTGGATTAACGTTAATTGAAGTCAAACCAAGTCAAGGAGAAGATCAAACCGAAGATTTCACTCCAAGACTTATTTGTTCGTGAGAAGAATCATAGGAATAATAAAGATTGTAACCCGCTATATTTATTTGATTCAAGAAATTCATTTGAATAATATTTTTCGTGTTTTTAAATTAAATACACAAAATTGTTGTTACAAGCATCAATTATGGTTCTCACGGTTCTCACACCAGCACTGGTTTTTATTCGAACCAGCCCATATATATATATATATATAACAAGAATAACCATTTAACAAAAATAGTAGCAAGAAAATAGGTCAGAATTTAATGCAACCCATAAATAGTAAGTTTGATTTTTTTAATATTTTTTCTCTAAAAAATCATACAACACTAAATACTACCTTAAATTTCGGGATTTAGTTCATTTTATTATTTAAAAAATCCGGCTAAGATCTATGAAGTGTGCATGTTTCCATTTTTATTTTTTCTTAGAAACAACGAACAACATTAAAATCTCAGTCTTTATATTGATAAAATCTCAATTCAAAATATAACAAAAGTTTTAGAATATGGATCTTTATATTTGTGCCTTTCAAAAAAATATTGAACGCTAAAAATATTCTTTAAATTTCATACTCAATTAACTAATCTTAATTTTTTGAAAAATACTACGTTTATTTTTTATTGATATTCATAAAGTAAAAACAATTAATTCATCTTCCGATATATAATTTATAATCATAAAATATTTTTATTTCACAAAATTAAATATATTGAAGAAAATAAAGAAATTTCTTCGGATCAATGGGATGCTTGAATTAGGGTACTGCTTAGGTTGATTGAATTACTTTTAAAAGATATATAAAATAGTAAAAAAAAAAAAAACTTGACACAACTTGGTTGGTCGCAGGTGACTAAGTTATGTATCAGTTTGACCAGACCAATCGATTATTGAACCTAAATATAGATTTTAATATTATAAATATTTTATTACGCGAATGTGATATAGTCCAAACTTCAAAAAACCGTATTAACGATACTTTTATGACAACATGTCTAATGATTTATTGATATTTATATATCATTTTATTAATATTTATGTGGATAAAATAATATTTTATTAATTTTTATTAATGTACAATAAATATAAGGTTTCCAGAACTGGACCATCATCGAAGCGATCAAGTTATTTTATTAAATCATTTGTGGTTTGTTCAAATTTTAATTTATAAACATTTTAATATATATATATATATATATAGTACTTTTTGTAATAAATTTAAAATGTGTTACTTAAATATCTAAACAATTTATAAATTCAAATGGTTAAACTAATTGATAAACAATTTATAAATCTCTATTTTATTTAAATATGTAATTTTATTAAAATAATTTTCAATGTAACAAACTTTATTAAAAAAATCGTATCGATCTTACCAGGTCAACCGACTGGTGTTGGCGGATTCGATAGAAAATATTTTATTCAAGCGAACTAAACTGGTTATAAATCGATTCTCGGTCCATCCAGTCGGACTGTGTCCAACCCGATTTAATTTTAAAACAATGGGTAAAGCATTATTAATGTTATTTATATATTTAATTTATACAATTTTGCTATAGAGCCATCGTATGACTCGACTTATTGAGTCATCCACACTTATTCACAAATAGTGTATTGACACGTGCCGTACAATAAATACACTTTGAACAGGTCTCGAGATATTAAGTGGTGAATGACTCCATAAAAAAATTATTCGATAATTCCATAGAATTTTTTTTTCTTTTTTGATTTATAATAGAATTGTAATATTGTTTTCCCGCATCGAACGTGTGCACACTAGTTTCACATAAGCCACCATTGTTAAGTCACATAAATAGTAAGTCCCACAAATATTTATCGTTAGGTACGCCCATGGAAAACCCTTTAGTTGCTATTTCTTAATAATTAGTTAATTACTTATACATTTGTATACTATTATTTAATAATAATTTGTTTGTCAAAGTCAAACTACTTAACATAAAAAAGTATCACCCTTTCAATACACTTATATACATTTAATTAATATTTAATAATATAAACATCTATTAAACTCATATAAGATAAGCCAAACAAAACCTATATATAATATATAGTAATGGGAGATGCTACGGTCCCCTTACGGAACCATTCCGTCAGGATTTGTAACCGTTAGATCAACTATTCGCGACGGTCACATGATGATTTAACGGTTACAAATCTCGACGGAATGGTTCCGTAACGGGACCGTAAAACATTTCCATATAGTAATAAGCATGTTAGGTACGGAAATTAGTAAAGAAAAGGCTCCAAAGGATAAGCATTGACAAATGCTACCTGCTTTTTCATCTTCACTCGCCAAATAGCTTGCAAATGCGATTTGATCGTCTCATTAGTATTTCCTCTCTCCACAGTTCTCCGGTTGCAGTTCATCGCATCTGAAATAAGCAATTACGAATTGTACGAACCGTATTCTTCTTCCATGGCGTTACACCGGAGCTCGCTTCTTCTGCGCTTGGCCAAAGGCAGCAGCCGGAGGGCCGCGGTGCAAGCTTCCTGCAGTCCCTTCGTTTACGGTTCATCTGATTACTCTGATTGCCGGAGATGCTATTCGAGCTCCGGACAAGATAAAGGTACAATGGCATCAGCAACGGGGTACCACGTCAGCAACGGACCGTCCTACATGCGTGGTGCGGTCTTTTGGGAGAAGAATAAGCCCCTCACTTTCGAAGATTTTCACATGCCCCGCCCTAAAGCCAACGAGGTTCTCATCAAAACCAAGGGTAATTTAATGGAGCTTCACTTTTTTAGTTGTGCTGTTTTGCATTGTGCTATAAAGCTTGTGTTTTCCTGTGTCCTTGCTGTTAGTATCTTATATATGGATCAGGATTTGAATGATCTAGTGGAGCAAAGACTGGATTGATGGTGGAATCATGGCAATTTCTGTTAGCTTAGTGTATGCTCAAAGAGTCTTTCCTTTATTTCTTTAATTTGTCTCTTTATGTACACAATGCAACTTGGTTTGGGATCGAACGAGCTTTTAATGCTTTACATGGATATAATCATAAATGGCTGTCTTTTAATAATGTGAAGTTATTGAGCCATGTGTGATGATTAATATGTTGATTGGCATAAATCTTATCATATTTATAGATTATCCATAGCACATTTTATTTAGCATTAGTTTGCTTGAGTCATTTGCATTTCATCATAGCTGCGTGTGACTAGTGCAATTGCAGCATGCGGGGTTTGTCACTCGGATCTGCATGTGATCAAAGGGGAGCTTCCATTTGCCAGCCCTTGTGTTGTGGGGCATGAGATTACCGGTGAGGTGGTTGAACATGGGCCACTTACTGACAGTAAAATCATTGAAAGGTTTCATAAGCTGGGAATACACATTGGATTTTTATCCCTTTTTTTTCATGTATGTGGGAACGAGGGAATAAATTTACTTATTTGTTCTGTTTTAAATTAAAATTTCAGATTTCCTGTTGGATCTCATGTTGTCGGGGCTTTCATAATGCCTTGTGGAAGCTGTCTTTTCTGCTCTAAGGCAAGTTACTCAGAAGACGGCCTATGAAGTTTTATCTGCATGTGAAATCCTGATCTGAGCAGTGTACTTCATCAGAGGTTTGACTTAATTATGTCTTGTATGAAAACAGGGTCAAGATGACTTGTGTGAGTCTTTTTTCGCTTATAATCGAGCAAAAGGGACACTTTATGACGGCGAAACAAGGCTATTTCTCCGTGGTAGTGGTACGCTCCTACCATGAACTTTGCCTTGAAAAACATTTGTTACAACTCAGCAGTCGATCTCCTTGAATATGTGGAATTGCTTGGATCATATCCATGTTTGTTCTTTATATCTTATTTCAACAGTTTCTTGATCCATTTGAATACACACACACACACACACACACACACGTGTATATTATATATGTTTGTATCATTATGTTTTTTAGGTAGTTGTTAAGCAACAGATTTCGCATTTAGTGCTAAGAGAAACAATCACTTGTATTACGTGAGGATAAAAACTTCTCTACTGATCATAACTGTTTAAATTGGTCCAGCCTTTTATTTTTATAATTTTGTTATAAATTTGTAATAGATGCCAAACTTGATTCAATTACCATGTCCATGTTTTCAGAGAAATTATATTTTTCTTGTTCTTCTTTTTGTTCGGTCCATTTGATGTAGTATGCTCCCAGGTTTGCTAGAGTAAGCAAGAACTTGCACTGAAAGTTGATAGTTGTGCTTACATGTACTGATGTGGTTTATAACTAATCTATTGTGTTCTTATTGTAGATGTTATTGCCTTTAAATTTGGTGATAAGATACCGTGGTTTACTATGTACTTGTACCACAGGAAAGCCAGTGTATATGTACAGCATGGGAGGCCTGGCTGAGTTCTGTGTGGTACCAGCCCATGGATTAGCCGTTCTACCCAACTCATTGCCTTACACAGAGTCTGCAATACTGGGATGTGCAGTTTTTACTGCCTATGGAGCAATGGCTCATGCTGCTGAGGTCCGTCCTGGTGATGCCGTTGCAGTAATTGGCATTGGGGGTGTTGGCTCGAGGTAATGAATAAATACAGCATTGAAAATTTACAATGTTTTGACAACTTTTCTGGTTTCAATCATTTAAGTCTTCATTCGTATTATGGAAGGCCTGCTACTGAACCTTGAAATATGTAGTTAGGACTTTATGAACTGTTGAAGAATTAGAGATTTTTGGTGTAGTAATTTTTCACATACAAGTAAAGGCGGATAGAAGGCTTTCTGGAGTCTCGTTTAAATATGTAGGACTTTGAACTATTGAAGAATTAGAGATTGTTGATTAGGTAATTTTTTACATACTAGTAAAGGTGGATTCAAGACTTTCTGGAGTCTTGTTTTATTATGTGTTTGTCATATGTGATCATTCAAGACCCTACAGAGTTGGGACCAAAGATAACTCATTACACTCAATATTCGTAAAGTATGTAAACTGTGAGCCTGCCAATGCAGCCACCAGTGCACTCTAAAAGAAAATTTTTCATATCTCATCGTTCAAGATTATTTATATGCGAGCAAATGCCTTATGTCTCATTTTTCAAGACTATTTAACTGAGATGCTGCTACTGTGAACTTGATCACAATTTTTTGCATGAGTTTAATTGGAAGACACCAAACAGTTGTCTGCAGATAGCTAGGGCATTTGGGGCTTCCGAGATCATTGCAGTAGACGTTCAAGATGAGAAACTTCAGAAAGCTAAGATATCTGGAGCCACTCATGCTATAAATGCACTGAAAGAAGATGCCGTAATGAAAATCAAAGTATACACTCTACATTCTTCAATTTTAGCTTATTAAATAGTAGAGAATATATACCTTGGGTTCTGGTGAGAAAAAGGAACAAAATCTTTAAAACTCGAAGCTCAAAGTTACATCTATGAACCTTACCCCGAGAAAAGGGGGATTATCTTTTTGGAATAGCGGAGATTTTCTGCATATTGTTATTGAAAATGTTCAAAATCCTGTAAATAACAAAGCAACTACCACCTTATAAAAAATGACCACAGGTTTAGAAGAGTAGGATCATTTTTACCCGAACAGGCCCCAAGATGCTGTTAATCTTCTTCAACTAAAAAGAAAAGCAAAGAAAAAAAACCAACTATACTAAGTCTTACTTCACGCTAGAAAGTTTTCTAATGCTTGGGAGAGTTTGAATATTGTATTGCATTCTTATGTTTGTTTTCGGGGATGCGTATTAAGGCCTACATCTCAAAAATTGAGTTGGCCATTCGGCTTAGCCAAGTTGCTGATCTTGGAATAACAATCTTTCAATTCAGTTAATTGCAGATTATGCGCACTTTTCTGCTTAAGCTATTTATGTATATTTACTTTTGGAGTAAAATCATATGCTTCTGAAATTCCTTACTGGATTTGACATCTGAACAGGAGATTACAGGAGGAAGGGGTGTAGACATAGCCGTAGAAGCCCTCGGAAGGACACAGACATTTTCCCAGTGCGTGCAAAGCGTACGTGATGGAGGGAAGGCTGTGATGATTGGACTTACGCTCTCTGGTGCTAAAGGGGAGGTTGATATAAACCATTTGGTCCGCAGACAGGTATTGTTGTTCGTCTTCAAAACCCACACGTGTTTTCTTTCTTTCTGTTTTCCTTTTTTTTTTTTTAACCCTCTTCAATCTTGGTATGTATTGCAGATTAAAGTGATAGGGTCTTATGGGGGCAGAGCAAGGCAGGACCTTCCGAAATTGATTAAGCTGGCCGAAAGGGGGATTTTCAGTCTTGAGGCAGCTGTTTCAAGGAAGTGCAAATTTGAGGAGGCAGGGGAGGCTTATAAGGACCTTGACCAGGGGAAAATTATCGGTCGTGCTGTAGTGGAGATCATGTAATACTGTGAATTATGAATTCTTACTATAGCTTGTGGCTTACATTTGTAAGCATCTGTGTCAATTGTAATAATCTTACCTTGAAAATAGGGTACATTTCGTATACCAGAAGACTTTGTATTCTCTTCGAAGTTATTAGTTGCGCCTCTCCAACTTGATGTTGTCATGCGTTGAAACATAAAATGTGCTAATTTCTGCATTTTTTCTGAAAGAGATTTGTTGTGGTGGAAGTGGAACATATTAGTTGTTGTGCATGTGAAACGTATTATTTTGCTAATTTCAATTGTAAGAGAATTTTGATTTGGAGTAGTTAAGTGTAAATACTCTTCATATGGTAATACTAAAATTTATAACTATGGGAAACATACAAAAATACACTGGGAAGTGTCAATTCATATGAAGCTTTTTTTTTTTTT